TGTTTGTACCTGGCATAAAACAGATAGAAACTAGGCACAGCCATCGTGTGGTCTGGCAAACAAGGTCAAACTGTCAGTTCCCTGCCCAAGAACTTTGTGGGTTTGGACTCGTCTTTAGTTTTGGACCCTCCTTAGGCTTTATTTGGAGTTGCCCGTTGTGCAAATTATTCTTATACCTTCCCCACGAAGAAAATGCTTACTTCAGGAGAATTAAGTGTCCTTACAAAGGGATTGCCTTTGAAGCAAGACAGTGGGAGATGTAGTTTAATAATAGAGCTCTTCTGTGTGTGTTGCAATTACTTATTTCTAAATAATGCATAAAGGAAGAATCGAGTCAGCTATACTGTGTTTATTGTTTTGATTCATTGATTTGATTCTTCTTGGGTCAAGTAAAAAAAATGCTTCTTGGTGTCAGATCATCATTTTTCTTGCTGCTGTTCTTGTTTATTAAGTGATTATTCACCCATACGCTGTCTATGATCTCTGGCAATTGCACAGATTTCAGGGTGGGGAGGAATGATCATTAATCAATTTCAAACCTACATAAAACTAGCCAATTTGAGGCCTAGGTGGCAATTGTCAATGGCAATTTATATGAGGGAAAAGGTTATATTGTATATCAAGGTTATTACTGAGAATTGATAACTTTGAATAAATTGCAGATAATTCTTAAAATACTGTTGAAACTGTTCAATTAGGCTAAACTTTTTATAAAATATAAAAACTGATTAAAATCCCAAATTTCATAGAAATGTAGGGCTGGAAGATAATTTCTTGCGGTTCCAAGTCCAGACCCCTGCACTGTAGCAGGATCTAGTACACTTAAACCATCCATGACAGTTGTTTGTCCAACCTGTTTTTTAAAAAAACCTCCAGTGATGGGAATTTCACACCTCCCTTGGAAGCCTATTCCAGAGTTTAACCATTCTTAATGTTGGAAAGCTTTTCCTATGATCTAACCCAGGGGTGGGCAAACTTTTTGGCCTGAGGGCCGCATTGGGTTTCGTGAATTGTGTGGGGGGGTTGTGGGCTGGCCCCCACCTCCTATTTACTCCCCTTCCTCCCCCCCCGGGACTCGTGCCCCATCAAACCCCCCCCCCGTTCCCTGATGGCCCCTCTGGGACCCCTGCCCCATCCACACACACCCTGCTTCTTGTCCCCTGACTGCCCCCGCCACCCCATCCAACTCTTCCTCTAATTCCTGATGCCCCCCCCTCCTTCCTGACTGCCCCCTGGGAC